ACTTCAGAAAAATGGAGTTTAGGTGGACAAGGCAATTGGAGAAGAGTAAGGGACATGTTTGTTGGGATATTGTGTATATATTTTTTTTCTTGTCCCCATAAATTTGTTGGTGTTCAAGCAGTCAACCAGAGGACTGCGGGAGGTCAAAGATTTGCTTTTGTTTGCTTCCTGAATAGAAAGACATTAATGGCCCTTCAATGTTGGGGAGTGTGTTGTTTTCAGATGTACGGTAGGATCAAAACGCTTCGATTGCTCTGGTTTATTGGACAAGGAGCTTGTTTGGCGGATCTCAGTGGCCCCTTTTTTGTTTTTTTTTTGAGCTGAAGCTAAATAAGCTTACTGGGCATTAAAGCATGTACATTGGGAGAGAGCAATGGAAGAACTTTGTAAAAATAGTGAAAGGGAAATAATGACAAAAAAAAAATACTTTTTTTTTTTTTTTTTAAATTGAGGGGATTTAAGGCAATTAGGGAAGGAGAAATGAGAAAATAAAAGAATTAAATATTTACCTATACAGTAATTACACAAGTTATGTATTGTTGTTAAAAAAAAAACATGTGTCTTTGTTTTTTTTAAAAAGAGTAATGAGAAAGAGAATTGTAAAGGCATATGTTCTAACATGTTTCAAATTTTGTAGAAATACAATTTAAGTTCAAGTGTGAACATTTTGTTTAGTTTCAATTGATACTTTGCAGAGTAAGATATACCAGATCGATGATCATTCTCCTTAAAAAAAACATGAGATTTTGGTATGTGGTTTATATGGTATTGAACCTACTCACCTCAATGCGATTCTTTGAAGGTTCATAACAGAACATGAATTATTTCAAGAGAATGAAGATATAGATGATATATTTACGAGTTGAGACACATATCTAGATGTCTAATAAAGGATTTTGAATAGTAAATAGAAAGCAATTCTTTTTTTTTTTTTCTTAACCGTAAGAGAAATTATATATGATGCGATAAACAGATTTGAATATTTATGTTATGAAAAAAAAAACGCAGTGACTTGCAGAAGAAAGACTGAAACCCATGCGTTGAAGGAACATGTTTCCAAAAGAAAACGCGACTCTATTATGGTTTGCGACTTGCCAATATAACTTACATAAAATGGTGTCTATTTTTTTTTTTTTCCATCTGCCAATCTGTGTCTTGCCTAGACTCCAGGTTGGCTTCTTATTTATATACCAAAAAAAAATTAACGAATCCAAACCGAGGTTTACAGCCCCCAAATCAAGCGGAATTCAGGGGAAACTAAACAATGTCATGGTTTTTTTTATTCTAATCTTCTTTCTTTACACCCTTCACATTAATTGCTTGTTCATCACCTTCATGCCCTTTTCCCATGATCTTATGCACAATGGGTTCAACGAATTTCTCCAAGTCAGTTGCATCCTTCTTTATTGCCTCCACCTATTTTTAATGATCAGAATAAGTGATCCAAAATAAAATGAGATTTTCATTTTTTAAAAATTTAAAAGGCAAAATATATAATCTAATATTATGAGGGTGTTTGGTTTAAGGGTTTACAAGCAGCTATTAGTTATTAATATTAATCAAACAGATTAAATATTTTAAATCATAAATAATAACGATTATCAACCGTTAAATTTTAACTATCAACTATCAATGATGTTTAAATAGTTAATCCAACAATTTTTATGTCATTTCAATAAAATACAATAAAAAACCTAAAATAGTATCATTCCTACTTTAAAAATATGTTATATTATTCTTTTTATAAAAATTACATCAAAACAATATAATTTAAAAAGCTTTTTCCTTATAATTTTTTAGATATTTCTCTCGTAAGCATTTTTTCCAAATCAAACACTATCAGGCAAATCTTGCCAATTCAGAAGCTGACCCAAAATTAGTGGGGCCCATAGGATTAAGTGGGACTAGCTCATGGTGGGCTCAGCCCGTACATTACCAATTAGGCCCATCAGGTTTAAAATCCTAAAATCCTAATAATAAGATAAAAAATGTATCATATATGATTACTAAATTATAAAACTTAAATAATTTAGGTATCAAATAGGTAAAGCGTATGAAGTGGGAATTGTTTCTCATCTAATGGTAGTTTTATTGGCCTGACAAAACCAAACTCTTTTATAATTGCGATGATTTGTTTTTCAAGAAAAATGGAAAAAGAAGAAACGATGAAGGAAAATTATTTACCTTGTGAATTATGTCTTCCGTGAGGCGAGCATCCTTAGCAGTTTCTTTGGAAACACGTTCTACAAGCAGAGCTGCTTCCTTCAACTTACTATCATCGGAGAGATTGGCTGCCACTTTTTCCGATGCCTTCTCTGTCGCGGTTGCCACCTTCTCCACAACCTCTGCTGCAATTTCAACCCCTCCAACCACCATCTCTGCCTCTTCTAAAAGTAACAAAAATAATGAATTTTAAAGAAAATGCATATAAGTTGTCCATAATTACTCAAAACCTAAAATTTTAAACTGTCAAGTAAGAATTCAAAAAGAGTTTGTACTTTCAATTCTTCGCCATTTCGCCCATTTTTGCTTCCAAAAAGGTAAGAGAAAAGTTAATAAAGAGCCTAAAATCCATCTTGCCCTGCATCACATAGGTAATTTTTCATTACACAGTTTTTTCTTGTTCCCAATTGATAAAAGTTCAAAAATTGAATCACAACTCATGTATATGTTCATACCAAATAGGGAAATTGAATCTTGGAGCAGGAGGAGGAGGAGGACCCGAACCTTCAGCAGCTCCAACATTAACCTTGTTATCCTTTTTGCTCCACATTCCACTTCTATAGGCACTAAACAACTGCAACCCCTGGTGTCCTGGATACCCTCGTCGAGCCCTGACAACGGTATTTATCTCTTGACGATGAAGCTGAGATACATTGCTTGAACATCGAATATGATCAAGGAAACTTAGCATCCTATATGAACTCCTCCAGCCTCTTGTATACATTTCCTGCAATTGCCAGTTTCTTCTTCTTGTTTATTTATGCTTATCCTTTTATTCAATTAATTAATTAATTAAGCTAGTGATCATCCCGTGACATTTGCTTGTGGGAATGGTTATATTTGTTTGGTAGAGATCGGTTAAATTATATTTTTGGTGCTTATTGCTTTAGAAAAGGAAGAAGAAAAGAGGTATCTAAGCACGGCAAGGGAAGAGAGAGCATGGTTCTTGCACCGTAGCAGTGAAAGTCAAGCAAAGGAATTGAACTGTTTCTTGCTTTAAGGAGATATATTGATTGCTTCTTGGTGCAAGCAAATGAGGAAAAAAGGATTGGTCTAAAAGCAAGGTGGCTGTATGTTACTTGCAGGTTAAAAACTTGGAGTGATCAAATTGTTGGACATGTAGAATATGCTAGCATATTCTTACGTACTTGGCTAATTTGTACAGGACAAGGTCTTTTGCTTGTGTGGTAGCATTTTTTTTTTCTTTTGAAAGATTGATATATAAGGTTATTGATACCACATCATGAGTTTCTCTTTAGTATTTCTTTTAATATATGATTCTATCATTAATTATACCTCTTTCTCACTATTAAGAAGTAAATATGTGACAATGAATGGTATAATTTATATTATCCTTTTTTCTTTTTAAATCCTTTCTTGTCAATCTCAAAATTTTAAACTTAAAATTATATAAATAAGTGAATTAATATGTTTAAACTAATTATAATCATTCAGAGAAATGAGATTACCACGGTGCTGCAAGCTTATGTGGCTAATTAAAGCGTGCTACTTACATGTAAGCTTCTAAGTGATGAATTGACTCAAATATTCCACAGGAAATGGGAGAGGAGACGAGTTTTGGGGCGTTGGTAGATTAAAACTTGGAAGGCAAAGCTAGCTGCCCAAATCCACGTTTTGAATTTTGGGTTTGGTAAATCGGCAGGTTAATTGTTGAAAGACAAATGAAAGACAGAAATAGTTGGCAATGGCATGGGACTATAGTGTGGGTCCAGTGTATCACAAGCAGCTAAAAGTGTGCCTTGCCTAGCATCATTATTTTCTCCCTTTGTTCTTCTTGAAGAATTTGTGCTGCTTTTTATTTAGACGTTGGGGACTAGTGGGCCAACACGCGCACTAAGGAAACAGGGCCCTGTAATTTCCTTTCAGGCAGAAGATAGCCGCTGGCTCCGGCCCATGTACTTTTAAGGGATCAGTACTTTGTGATTTCGATTGGAATCAAACCAAACTACTGGTTTATTGAATTTTTTGTTATTAAAATTTAATAACTACTAATTAAACCAAAAATTTTGGGTTTTATTAGTTGTGCTTAATTTTTTTGAAAATAATCATTTGGTTCGGTTTCAATTATTATTTCTATATTTTTTTTATGATTTTTAAAATTTTTAATTGTTATTTTATTAATTTTAATCATTTAAAAATAAAAATTACTCAAGTAAATAAATAGTTTAGTCAAAAGTGGTGAGAAAACTCTAAAAAATCTAAAAGTTATTGAAAAATTTATGTAAATTTTTTTTAAAACTTTTGGTTATACTCAACCTAATCATCAATTTTTTTAATTTTTAAACCTAATAATAAAAAATCGAATCATTTGACAGTGGTTTGGTTTTGAATTCAGTCAAAAAATCCAAAATCAATCGAACTCAATTAATATTGGTTATGATTTTGGCCAATTTTAAATTTTTCTAAGTTACCCCTAGTACTTCTCCCCAAGGCCATCATGTCACCTTTCCCAACTGTAACTATATATATATAGAGGATAATGTTGGGTGCACACTCCTCCGTTACACATTTTATTGCACACACTCATTCCGTTAGTTTCTGTTCCGTTAACACCCAAACACATCCAACCCATCCAATCTGTAATTTCACGTTCTTTGATTTTCAACCTTCCTTCATTTTCCTCCTCCTTTCTTTTTCTTTTTCTTTCCCTCTCCTCCCCTTTTCTTCCTTCTCTCCCCCCCCCCTCTCCCTTCCTTTTGATCTGTTTGAAGGAGAACACATATCGGGTTCTCATGAGGAACGCAAATCTGGGTGAGGAACGCAGATTTGGGTTCCTCATTAGAACTCGATCTGGGTTCTCTTGGAGGATGATGGAGGAGAGAGAAAAAAAAAAAAAGAGGAAGGAAAGAGGAAGAAGATAATGAATTTTTATAAATTTTGGTTAAAATTTTTACAAATTTAATAATATGGTGTGTTGTTTGGTTGATAAAAAAATTGTTTGTTTGATTAGGATGAGGATGGAGATGAGGAGGAAGATGGATCTGGCTAGTGAGGACTGTGAACAGCAACAGGGAAAATGGAAAGGAGAGAAAGAAAGGCTTGACCGGTTAATGGTGCAATTAACGAAAGTAACAGCAAATGATGAGTGTAACGGAATATGTAGGAGAAAAGGGTGAATCTATCATGGTCCATATATAGAAAACAGAAATTAAGGATGTCCTAGCAAAAAAAATTGCCAGCCCCTAAATGAAAGGATGCGTTTCATTTTAGCCATTACCCTTTTCCCCATTGTTGGCTATAATGTATAAACCATGAATAAACCCTTCTATTGCTGGTGACTTCTCTGCTTCTTCTTTGGCCATGACGAGAGTTATCAAGAGGACAAATTCCTCCAGCCTCCTTCTCACCAAAGTTCAATCCACAATCTCAATTTGTATTCTATTGATTTTCCTTACTCTTTTTCTTTTTACTCTCTCCATTTTTGAACCCTCCATTCCCACCCCTACCATTGTAACTACCCCCACCTCTCAGAGATTGATGATTCAGAAATCCTTACTTACCAAACCCGATTTCCCTTTGTCCTTTTGAGTGTCTAAATTGTTGTCGTTCAAGTTTAGAACCATGTCACATGTCAAGAAACAAAACAGTTCTCTTATAATTTAATGCTTCAAAACTACAATTTTTACAAGAATTAAATTGTCGAGGGAGCATGTGTGAGAACTCAAAAGCTTTGTCCCTCCTTTTTTTTTTTTTTTTTTGTAAAAAAGGGGCAAATGGGTTGGGTTCAAATGAAATGCATAGTTTTATTTAGGGACATCTTAATAATTTTTTTACCGAATCATCCTTACTTTTCATTTTTTTGATATAAATATATATACGTATGTATATATTGAGATTAGGTACAAATAAGAACATAATTTTTTTAAAAAAAATTTAATTAAATATATGACTTTTTGTTTTCTATCAATATCAAAACTATATCATATTTTAAAAGTTTTTAATCAAGATATATATTCCTATGGCACCTGACCCTTGAGGCTTAGTAGCAATAACTAACCCGGTGCATTCTCCCCTCCCGGGTTGGGTTGAAAACCCACCCCTTGCAAATATGTTCAAAATATATATATATATATATATTCCCATGGCTGTCGTCTCAGGGTCTTTTTCTTAAAATGATCATTTTGCCCCGTCACTTCACGAACATAAATGCTACCAATAATATATTCTCATATCCGGAAAACAACTCACAACAGTCAAAACCTTTGCAAATGACACGATGCCCTTCAGCGACGCGAGCTTATCCAACGGCCCCATGAAACGATTGCTTGACAGGGCCATGTTTGGATAGAAACCAAAAGCCACGTTTGGATTGAAGCCAGTAGCAGCCACGGACTCCATAGACCTTTTAAATTATTTTTATGAGATTTTTTTTGGATAAATAAAAAATATCATTAATTATATAAAAAATCACAAAAATATATGTGCAGGACACAGGACCCATAATAATCCCTATCCAAACCGTGAACGGGTGGATGAATTAGCTGAGACTCTTCCAGCTTAACCAGAGGTCTTGAGTTCAAATCTTGATAATGCAGTTCCGTTAAAACTCATGAGAGAAAGTTTTGTCGCCCATAAGGTCCTGCCCGACTCAAATCTAGATTAATCAGTGACCTAATGAGTTTCTGGATATCAAATGGTCATACCAAAAAAAAAAAAAAACAGTCCCTATCCAAACCCTCTCAGTCTCCATATTTGGAGCTAGACGAATTAAATTATGAGCCCTCATTTTCGCCTCTCTCGCATGAGAACAACCATAATTTTCCACTAAATCGAGCAGACCCCTCATTTCAGCCACAATTGCCCCATAACCATGCATGCAATCCCAACCTTTCTTGGCTCCACGTATTGCTTACAGTGAATCACTCAAAAATTATCCGCTTGAAGCCTAAATCCATCGTGAACTGTACTCCATACTCCATTGTTAGCAACTCATCACCTTCAACCACCAAGAGGTTGTCTTTTCTAGTTTTAACTGCACTATAATATGTCTCCCCACGCGCATGTTGAATCAACACCCCACACCATTCGTATTAATCTTCACAAAACCCCACTTTGAGCACAACACTCAGAACTCTCTCTTTTCGAACTCTGCCTATAGTTGCCCTTGATGCTTCTCCAGATCCACTTTTCTAATTTCCCTCACCAAAACTCTGATTTTTCCCAGCCCCTGACTAAATGAGTCACAACATGATGAATCATAAATATACCGATTTCGATTCCTCTAAATGACCCACAATGTCGCCGCAAAAACCAGTAGCTGGTCCCTATCTAAAACCGAGAAAACATAACTCAACAATGCATCCAAAACCTCCTCATGCACAAAGTTTTGAGCATCCAATGCCGGTATCACCCATTCCGTAGGTCTTTACTCCACCGGCAACCAACGAACAAATGGCTCAAACTCTCTTCATGCGATGCACACACACTACAATTATTATCTGTTAAGTGAAAAGTTATTTCATCTAATACCAATTAGTTTTAAATTAAATTTATATTGAAACCACATACACAATTTTTACATTATCCAAATCCATCCCTCATGCTACCAATGCTGTTCTTATACTTGTATAAATAAAGACTAACATTTCAAAAAATTTTAATTAAGGATATGAAATTATTTTTTTACTAATCAAAAAAAAATTTTAATCAAAGATATGAGCTTTATGATTTTACTAAAAAAATTTTAAAATGAATTTACACATTTATATTCTTAACTAGAAAAAATTTTGAAAGGTCTTATGCTAATTTACTTATTTTCAATATGAAATTTCTTATTTTTATTCTAAGTAACTGAATGATCGGATGGCCCAACACAGCTCGATCGTTTTAAATCAGATGTATAGAAATTATATTTTTTTAAGAAAGGTGTGGAGGATCTGTATAAGAACAAAGGCACTTACTACGTACTTAGCAGCTGGTAACTATAAAAGAACTGACTTAATTAATTTGCAGCCAAATTTCATCGCAGTACAGAGCTTGTTTGGCAATCACTGGAAACAGCTATCCGCT